AACACAGATTCCACAGCCTCTTGTGGTAATTTGTTCCAGTACTTAACTATCCCTACAGTTAGGAAGTTTTTCCTAATGTCTTCCTTGCTGCAATTTAAGCCCATTACTTCTTGTGCTGTCCTCAGTGGTTAAGCAGAACAATTTATTATCCTCCTCTTTATAACAACATTTTGTGTACTTGAAGACTGTTATCACATCCACCCTCAATCTTTTCTTCTCCAGACTAAACAAGCCAATTTTTTTCAATCTTTCCTTGTAGGTCACGTTTTCTAGACCTTTAATCATTTTTGTTGCTCTTCTCTGGAGTTTCTCCAATCTGTGCTACCATGGCTACACTGCTATTTATAGTCATGCTAGCTCAATGAGAGCTACCACAAGTATGTGTAGGGAGCAGGGGAATCACATTCCTAGATCATAGTATAGATGTAGCCTTAAATTAAGCTCCTTATACAGAGCAGAATACTTTTGTCTGCTTATCCATAAATTCTAGCAAAGTAAAGGTTTTACAAAGCTATTCACTGTGTTCTTAGGCACTGTAGGTAATGGGATTTGACCTAGATTCTGGTCTTCAGCATAATGATTGATGCTCAGCTCATAGGCACCAACTCCATGGGTGCTCCGGCGCTGGAGCACCTACAGGGAAAAATTAGTGGGTGCTCTGCACCCACCGGCAGCCAAGCTCCACCTCACCTCACCACCTCCTCCTGCCCTGAGTGTGCCATGTTCCGGCTCCTCTGCCTACCTCCCAGCACTTGCCACCGCCAAACAGCTGTAGCAAGCTCTGGGAGGAGGGAGGAGCAGGAACGTGGCACGCTCAGGGAAGGAGGTGGAGAAGAGGTGGGGCCAGGGTGGCGATTTGGGGAAGGAGTCACAATAGGGGCAGGGAGGGGGTGGGGACCTTGGGGAAGGGGTTGGAATGGGGGCGGGAGGGGTAGGGCAGGGGTGGAGTCGGGGCAGGGCCGGGGCAGAGCAGGTTCGAGCACCCACCGGCGCCAGTAGAAGTCAGCACCTATGGCTTAGCTGTCCAGCTCTCCGCATGCTCTAATGACCTGTGTATCTAGTATTTATGAGTCCTTTTATGTCCATTCTCTGCCAAAATCCCTGTTTCTGCATACTGAGACACGTATTAAGGTACTTTTGTTTTCTGAACTAGTTTCAAAATTGTGCCATCTACAGTACATGATTAAGAAAGTCAAGTTTTTCCTTCCCAGTCAATTCACCTACATCTCCTAATCTAATCGCATTCTATGATGAGATTACTGGTTCTGTGGATGAAGGGAAAGCAGTGGATTCTTGACTTTAGCAAAGCTTTTGACACAGTCTCCCACAGTATTATTGTCAGAAAGTTAAAGAAGTATGGGCTGGATGAATGCACTATAAGGTGGGTAGAAAGTTGGCTAGATTGTTGGGCTCAACGGGTAGTGGCTCCATGTCTAGATGGCAGCCGGTATCAAGTGGAGTGCCCCAAGGGTCGGTCCTGGGGCCGGTTTTGTTCAATATCTTCATAAATGATCTGGAGGATGGTGTGGATTGCACTCTCAGCAAGTTTGCAGATGACACTAAACTAGGAGGAGTGGTAGATATGGTGGCAGGTAGGGATAGGATACAGAGGGACCTAGACAAATTGGAGGATTGGGCCAAAAGAAATCTGATGAGGTTCAACAAGGATAAGTGCAGGGTCCTGCACTTAGGATGGAAGAATCCACTGCACCACTACAGACTAGGGACCGAATGGCTAGGCAGCAGTTCTGCGGAAAAGGACCTAGGGGTGACAGTGGATGAGAAGCTGGATATGAGTTAACAGTGTGCCCTTGTTGCCAAGAAGGCCAATGGCACTGTGGGATGTATACGTAGGGGCATAGCCAGCAGATCGAGGGATGTGATCATTCCCCTCTATTCGACATTGGTGAGGCCTCATCTGGAGTACTGTGTCCAGTTTTGGGCCCCACACTACAAGAAGGATGTGGAAAAATTGGAGAGAGTCCAGCGAAGGGCAACAAAAATGATTAGGTGTCTGGAACACATGACTCATGAGGAGAGGCTGAGGGAACTGGGATTGTTTAGTCTGCAGAAGAGAAGAATGAGGGGGGATTTGATAGCTGCTTTCAACGACCTGAGAGGTGGTTCCAAAGAGGATGGTTCTAGACTATTCTCAGTGATACCAGATGACAGGACAAGGAGTAATCGTCTCAAGTTGCAGTGGGGGAGGTTTAGGTTGGATATTAGGAAAAACTTTTTCACTAGGAGGGTGGTGAAATACTGGAATGTGTTAGGCACTGTAGGTAATGAGATTTGAGGTGGTAAAATCTCCTTCCTTAGAAGTTTTTAAGGTCAGGCTTGACAAAGTCCTGGCTGGGATGATTTAATTGGGGATTGGTCCTGCTTTCAGCAGGAGGTTGGATTAGATGACCTCCTGAGGTCCCTTCCAACTCTGATATTCTATGATTCTATGATTCCTGAGACTCTGCAGCTTTTGGTCATAGGCTTCAAGAGCTTTCTCTCACATGTATTACTGCTCACTTTTTTCTTGTCAAGAAAGCATCATCATCTTGCAGTTTACAGTCACGCACACAATCATCTTCTTGTCAGGTCCCTTGACTAGCACTACAAAAAGCTGCTTATCACAGAAATCCATCCTTTCTAAGAGTGCAGAATTCATGTTCTTCTGAGTCTTTGTAATATTTTTGAGTGAATGGAGTGAATATATTGCTTAAGAAAGGTACCAGTTTGACTGCTGTGCGCTCTATTTAACTGCAGATGAAGTACAGCACAGGCAATCTCACTGCAAATTTCTCCAGACTTCCTTGTCAAAGTCTCTCCACCCTGACTCAGGGGCCACCCAGTAAGAGATGAGACCTCAGTCTTCATGCTCATTCTGGTTTTGGACTTGCTATTGATACTGGCAAAAAGGTTACTAACTACAGCTCCAGTCCATCAAACACTTACATATGGCCTGACTTTACTCACATGTGTTCTATTGACTTCAATAGCAGTAGTTACATATCTAATACTAAGCATGTGCAAAAGCATTTGCAAAAACACAGTGTATTATGGTGACATTTTGATGTGAATATCTGTCTGCAAGGAACTGGACTGATATCACCATGTCATTCCATATAAGCCATCTAGTAGCTAAAATAACATTCTTGGAAAATAAGAACTTTTGACTACTTGAAAGAAAAGAAATATTTTGCATCTATAATACATGGAAAAATCACAGTTGGGGATTTACATAAATTATGAAAAATCATTAACATTTCCAGTGGCTAGCAGCACTAGATAGCTCATATAAAGGAGTAATGAAATGAGCTGATATGCCTTGTATTTATATTCCAGAAATCTTATGGCCATCATCAGCAACTGTCTGATATCCAGGGCTATTCTGACACTGTAGTTAACACATGGACAATTAGGGTGACCAGACAGCAAGTGTAAAAAATCAGGACAGGGGGTGGGGAGGTAATAGGAGCCAATATAAGAAAAAGAGCCAAAAATCGGGACTGTCCCTATAAAATCGGGACATCTGGTCACCCTATTGACAATATCGTTTTATATTCCCTTCTAGATAATAATGATTTTCTTAAAGCAAGGGAAACAAACTTAGCTTTTTAAAAATATATATCTTGTAAGTTGGAAAATCTCTTCAGTTCAATATTACCTTTATCTTAAATGAACATTCTTTAATAGTTTTAATTATTAAATGAATATTTAAGGCCATATTTTCAACCAGCCTCCCTATATATGCCCATAGATTTTCAGATGCCGCTGTTTGCATATTTCTGCTCAGATTGAATTCCATTTGCATATGCATAAGTTAAGCACACAAATGCAGGTCTTAGTGAATGCAAAAGGATGCACTTGCAAATTTTGTGAGTGTATATATGAGGCCTGCTGATAAATTTGGCCAATTGATTAGACTTCCATTCATACAATAAAAGTCATTTACTTTATGGGTCTTGTGGCAGCGTTGCCTATGCAAGTCTTTTTTCTCTTTACATGATATTTTCAGAAAACACATTCATACTGCTGAGGAAAGCAAAATGTCTGCAGAAAACTTTTGTTTTAGGGAAAAAGACAAATTATTTCTAGACTGCCTCACTGGTGTGCCAGGAGAATACTAAGATATGGTTTTTGCAAGGGGAGGGGGAGGAAAAGCAACAGATTCAGGAAAGATATCAAGGCTTCTGCTGTGAAAAAGAGAAGCACTATTCATAAAGAGTCAAATTCACTCCTGAAATTCACTGACAGTGCAGTCCATGGTTGGCTACAGACATGTAGGAAAGGTTTATCAATGAGCTCCCAAATAATGGAATGAGCTGTGACTACATTTGGGTGCTGGGGGAACATTTTCTTTGACTCCTCCCACGACAAAGCACATTAATTACTTCTGTAATGTTCTTCTGCAAATAGGTTCTGAGAATGAAATGTGCATTAAATGTAATTGCTATCCTTTTTCAAACTGTGCACTCTGATGGGGAATTAGTAAGGGAAATTATATCACTTACCAGTGCCCGAGGAACAGAGTCAAGTATCAGCCAAAATGGTGGTGGTGGGGTTGTGGAGAGATAAATGGAGATCAGAAGGGTCCTGTGAAATTCACATTTGAATAATTCACTTATATTAAAGAACTAGTTGCCCTGAAGGAGACTTATATTTTGTTTTGGATGCTTCTGAAATGTTAGCAGCTCTTAGGACCCACTCCTTGAAACCCCGACTCATCTGAGTAGTCCTTACCAAAGTAAGGAGTCCCATTGAAGTACAGTGGCTGTGGGAAACTGAGCCTCAAAAGTATCTGCTTGCTTCAGGGTTTGTAGGCCTTAAATGGTAAGTTCCTATTTTATTTTAGGGGCTGTGCAGTGCAAAATAATAAATGTAAAGTATTTCAAAGCTTTTCTTGTGACAATGACTGAGAGTAAATTTGCTTTGTTTACAAACATTTGTGCCAAAATTGCCAAGCAGATTATACTGGTCCATATTATTTACATGCTGTTTGTAAATAGGTTCAGGTGGCTATGCTGACAACCTTGTTGGTGCTGTCTCTGCAACTGGTCATGGAGAGTCCATCATGAAAGTCACTCTTGCAAGGCTTATCCTCTTTCATATGGAACAAGGTAAGATGACCCTCACATTGATGAATGCATCTGCATTGCTTAAATGACATTTATACAATACTCTTCTTGGCTGTAACAAGTAACAATCGATTCTTAACTGCTGAAAGGGAAGTTTGTTTGCAGTAAAAGATGTGTAAGAGGACACTTTAAAAACTTCTGAACATACAGAGTTCTCTATTTACTCTTAACCCTATTTCCTAAGCTTGACAAATGACACTGTATACAAAACTGAGAAGAATGCTGGATGCTTAAATAATCAGAATCATACGTATGTGCCTTCAGAAGCTTTCAGTATACAAATAATGATTTTGGGAAAAATATGCAAAGTATTTTGAGACCATTGATTAAATTTAGGAAACAGCATAATAAGTGTAGGAACACTAAGGGCTTGTCTACACTTCCCGGGGGTTCGACATGCAGCTATTGATGCATCAGCGGTCAATTTAGCGGGTCAACCGCCAATCATTCTCCCGTCGACTCCTGAACTCCACCTGAATAAGAAGCGCAAGGGGAGTCGAAGGGAGAGCGTCCCCAGTCGACATCGCGTAGTGTAGACTCCACGGTAAGTAGATCTAAGTACGTTGACTTCAGCTATGTTATTCATGTAGCTGATGTTGTGTAACTTAGATTGATCTCCCCACTTACTGCAATTTAGGTTTGTCTACAATATCTTGTAAAAAAAAAATGAATGAGTCTGGGCCTGTCATAAAAATAAAGGGAAGGGTAATCACCTTTCTGTATACAGTGCTATAAAATCCCTCCTGGCCAGAGGCAAAACCCTTTCACCTGTAAAGGGTTAAGAAGCTAAGATAACCTCACTGGCACCTGACTAAAATGACCAATGAGGAGACAAGATACTTTCAAATCTGGAGTGGGGGGAAACAGAGGGTTTGCCTGTCTGGGTGATGCTTTTGCCTGGAACACAGGAACGCAGGCTCAGAACTTCTGTAAAGTTAGTAAGTAATAAGAAAAGGAGTACTTGTGGCACCTTAGAGACTAACCAATTTATTTGAGCATGAGCTTTCGTGAGCTACAGCTCACTTCATCAGATGCTGTAGCTCACGAAAGCTCATGCTCAAATAAATTGGTTAGTCTCTAAGGTGCCACAAGTACTCCTTTTCTTTTTGCGAATACAGACTAACACGGCTGTTCCTCTGAAACCTGTTAGTAAGTAATCTAGCTAGAAATGTGTTAGATTTCCTTTTGTTAAATGGCTGGTAAAATACGCTGTGCTGAATGGAATGTATATTCCTGTTTTTGTGTCTTTTTGTAACTTAAGATTTTGCCTAGAGGGATTCTCTATGTTTTGAATCTGATTACCTGTAAGGTATTTACTATCCTGATTTTACAGAGGTGATTCTTTTACCTTTTCTTTAATTAAAATTCTTCTTTTAAGAACCTGATTGCTTTTTCATTGTTCTTAAGATCCAAGGATTTGGGTCTGTGTTCACCTGTACAATCCTGTGGGTGAGGATTTTTATCAAGCCTTCCCCAGGAAAGGGGGTGTAGGGCTTGAGGGGATGTTTTGGGGGAAGATGTCTCCAAGTGGGCTCTTTCCCTGTTCTTTGTTTAACACGCTTGGTGGTGGCAGCATAGGGTTCAAGGACAAGGCAAAGTTTGTACCTTGGGGAAGTTTTTAACCTAAACTGGTAAGAATAAGCTTAGGGGGTCTTTCATGCAGGTCACCACATCTGTACCCTAGAGTTCAGAGTAGGGAAGGAACCTTGACAGCCACTATTTTACTTGGCTTGTTGTGCTGTATATGATCTCTAAAGTTAATATACATCACTACTCTTGTCTATTGTATGTTTGGGGGCAATTTTGAAATGCAAATTCCAAAGGCCCCACTGAGATTCAGAATGATTATTATGGTTCACATTCACTTGAACAGGGATTGGAATTTTATTACAGTTATAGTAATTGGCATATTTTTATGGATTCATTTTTTAATTTGGCACCCACTCAGACTTCACTGCTCATGCGACAGTAGCAGCATGATGAATTACTGTAAGTTTTTTTTTTATTCATTATTATTAAATTTAATTGTTTTTGCTCATGTACCCAGATGTGAACAGCATTAGTTTTCTAATCTAATATTACAGGCTGTTTTGAAAATATGTGCTGTCTATTAGAGGCATTTTATAATAGAAACGATAAAAAGAATCATTAATGAAAAGTAGTTTGCCTCTCTATGTACTGGTTTCAGTTAATCAAAGGTGCTTTGAAATTGAAATCATTAATTAACTTTGCCTGTTTTTGAACTGATCAAGCACTCTGAGCGCTGCTGAGAAACTGTGAAATGAAGTTCTTCTGAAAAAGAAAACAGCATTAATAGACTCTGTTTTTCCAAATGATGAATTTTATTCTCTCCTATCAATAACATATTCCTTAAAGACTATTGCATTGTTTACCATATTTAAAAGTAAATAGGAAAGAGGATCCAATTTCACGTGAATTCAAGCTGGGTATTTGCATTGCAGGAAAGCTGGTATTAGAGCTGGGCGAATTTTTTTGGATTAATCTTTTTTGTTACCAAAGAAGGCAGATTAGGGTTGACCAAAACAGTCAGCAAATTTGGGTTGATTCTGGTGAACGCTTTTGGCCTGAACATCTTGTTTTTCTGCCAGTATCAAATGAACCATTTTTACAGTATCAAAATGAACCATTTTGATTATTTGGGATAGATTTATGAGGAGATTAAGGAAACATTCACAAAACCACTGGTGATAATGCCAGCCTCACACCCAATAGGCAAGTGGTTAAGGTGCTCACTTGAGATGCTTTGAATCACTGCTCTGGGACTTCAACATAGGTCTCCCCACTCCCAGGCACATGCCTTAACCACCAGCCAATAGAGGTATTCTTGCGGCTATTCAATGATGATTGAAGTATTTTATTCGAAGTGGAACTGCTTTGGCAGGAGAGACTGAGAGCAGCCCACTTCAGAATAGCCAATCTCCTGGTGGTTAAGGCACTCAGATGGCGGGGAGACTTGGATACAAGTCCCTAACTCCAGACCAGTTTTGTGAATCTAATCCTTCATTTCCTTTGACTGCAGGTGATCCAGGTTCAAATTTCTGCCCTGGAGCAGGGACTTGTGCCTGGGTGTCTTGCATCCTAGGTGAGTGTCCTAACCATTGGGCTAATTGGTACAAAGGTTGGGGGGAATGAGGGAGCATTACCACCTCCTCTTGTTTTATGAATCTAGCCCTTTATTTCCTTTGTTTTTATTAAAAAAAACCTGACACAAAATATTTTGTGTGAAACAAAACATTTCATTTGAGCTGAAATGAAACTTTTCTAACATTTTCAATTAACTGAGAATTCCAAAATATTTGGGATTCAGTTTGACCTGACTTGTTGCTGATTTTTCAGAACTGCTGGTGGACCAAAAATTATTTGTTCACACATTTCTAGCTTGGCTAACCTCATGGTACTGCATTTATTTGTTAAAAAAACATATTGCACATATTAAAAAATAACCATCAATCAATATATATACTTTTCTTGTTTCTCTATAACATTATAGACTAGCATATTAGATGGCTCTAATAAATCTAAAATAATTTAAAAGAAAGGCCCTTGAAAAAATAAATGTTATGGAATAGCCACATGACCTACCCCTGACAGGATGTTGTGAACAGATCTTTGCCCAGAGAGATTTCCTATCTACATCCCCCACCCCTGCAGGATTTACTACAGGAGGGGATGACCTAGATCAATAGCTGGTATTTTGGTAGCTCTCCTTCTCATGCTGTATTCTCCAACCTTGAATTTCTGTTGGTAAGTAACTGGCAGCTGTATTATTTCCCCTACATGGATTTTACTTCATTTAGATAAAACTCTGTGTCACTTCATCTTTATGAAGTGAGTTCCTCCTGAATGTGTTTTTATTTTCTCTTGGGGAATCTGTGCATACATTTTAAATGTCATGAGTTCTTGTTTTTAACGGCTTTGTATAATCTTGTTTGCTTCTTTACAATATCAGTTTGAGAAGGAAAAAGTGAGTATATTCCTCCATTATGTTGTAAAATGTTTAATAAATTAAATTAATGAAGACTCCTTATTTACTAAAGAAATACACAGCTGGGTTAAAACAACCAGGAGTCCTTTTTTTAATTAAAAAGGAAGGGAACTCACAAAGGAAAAGTATCTGTTATAAATGGATGTATGACAAAGTCTAGATTTGTGTCAAATTACCTCTGGCAAATCATGTGATCATATAGAAGTAGTCAGAAAAATTGATCCCAGGGGACGCAATCATTCAGCCCTTACCGAGTAAGGAGTTTCTCCTGGGCATGGCCTGCACAGCTGGGTCCATGGTTAACAGTTGGAAATTACAGAGATCTTCATTTGGGTCCCAGACCTACAAGGTGCTGAGAGCCCTCAACTCCCATTGAAGGTAATGGGAGTTGACAGTGCTCAGCTGTTGTGACAAGGAAAATGTGCACCTTTTACTTTTCATAGCATTCTAGAACGATAGCATTCCGCAAGGTCAGAGTTCTGGAGTACAAGATTTTAGATGCTTTTCGTAAAATACAAAACTTTGGACAAAATACTTTTGCATAATTTGTGTTCATTTTAACTGGCATTAGAGACACAAGGTAGGTGAGGTAATATTGTTTATTGGACCAGCTTCTGTTGGTGAGAGAGACAAGCTTACGAGCTACACAGAGCTCCTCTTTTTCTTCTAATTGTCTCTCTAATATCTTCGCACCAGCATGGCTACAACAACACTGCATTACTGCAGTATAATAGTAATAGCCATCACAAAGTAACAGTAACAGATGTTCTCTAAAAATTCCCAAGCATTTACTGTGACTGTATGCAGGTTCTCAATGGGGAATAGTACTACAACTTTGCTGTATGTGGGTAAATCTACAGGTAATAAATATAACACTGTACATTCCTTTGGAGTCTTTCAAGCCAAATGACACCAGTCTTATGGAGCTATCCTCTAGAATTTAATTACATGATAATATTTATATATATTTTAACCATATGATAGAATTTTCTTGTAAGATGGTTTTAAAAAGTCCTATAAAAAGAATGTTATTAGCTATTTAATTCTATAGAATGTTAGAGCAATTTTTATATAATGCTATTACATTTCTATAGACTCCTATTGGTTTCACCCATATTAAATTCTATAGGGATTTTCCATAAAAATGTAAATTATTATAATTCTATATATAGAAATAATGTGTGCATGTGTAACACATACAGACTTACACATGTACATATATTATAGTTTCGAAATTAATTTAATTAGCAAGAGCATAATTTTTACTGAAAGCCATCATCATCTTAGCTATGATATTTTGAGCCATGTCTTTTTTTCCCCATTTTTCACGTATGGTCTATCATTAGGTGACACGACAGCTCCAATTATGTCAGCCTGTCACATTACACAACATAACTGACTGTGTTATGTCAAACCTGACAGACTGAATGAGACATGATCTGCTAATACAGTATAAAAGTTTCTAAATGGTTTTAGCAAATATTTCCTACTATATTTAAAGTCAACAAAAATGAATAGCTGTAAGTTTTATTTAATGGCATAACTTAGCCCTATCCGATCTGCACACTACAAGATCCTCCATGTATGGGTTTCTCCACTACTGTGCAGAAGTGGGAGAACAGCCACCACTGAGGCACCGACTCCTCAAATCTCCTCCAGAACCTGTGGAGGCCTTTCTACAGGCTCTTGGTGTAGCCTTTATTTTTATTTAAAGTTAGTTTTAATGATATGTTACACCATCGAGGGTTTGTCTCTGGCAGCTACAGTTTCGAGTTGAGCAGAGTTACCTCTGCTTATTTCAGATGTAGAGCTCATAGGAACACATGAAACCATAGGCAAGTAACACATAGAATCAAAAGAACAAGGTCCACTGTCTGTTATCAATTTTATTAAAGTTACCAACAAAGTTGTGAATGTCACAGCATATACAACTCCTAAATATATCCATGAACCAGTATAAACTATAGAGATATTCACATCCTCCTAGATAGTGTTAGGGTCTGATGGGTCTCCCATTGATTGATCATCAGTAGAGGGATGATTCCTGCGGGAGTTTTCCCATAGGAAGCTTAATTTTCCCACTCTGAGCACCCCCTTTTTATAATGTGATTCTCTGTATATGTACATTCTGCACGTGTGCATGAAAGTGTCAACTCTCTTTTTCCTTATTGGTGTCTCCTAGAAACCTGAGGGACTCCATTTCCTATAGGTTGTGTATAGTTCCTGTTAGTTTCATTAACATTGATGTACAACCTGTATCCTGCAATGAAGACACATGTTAGAGACAGATGTGACTCTGTCGCATTTTTTGTGATTTAAAAATAATCTTCCAGCTAATTTTTTGCAGCATTACCCCGTGGTACCTCTTTTCCCATTATCTTATGGCATCAGGTTATTCTTCAGTCACTTATGTCAGCATTTCTTGTCTCCAAGGCCTAAAATAGCGAAGGTTAAAATCTTGCAGGCCTCAGCCTACAGGTCTTGTGTTTTCGCCTTCCTTATTTAGATATCTACTACATAATTATTCCTTTTAACTACTGATCAATCTTATACTTCTATAATTCTGCAACTTAACTCTATTCCTGGTTTTGTTACTGTTGAAACAATGTTACAACAGACTGATTGTCTAACACTTGTGTTGTAGTTACACATAGCAAGCAATTGGTCAAATGATTAATTAACATGGCCCACTCTGGAGCCGGGGGAGGAGGAGTGGAAATTAGGTGGCCATAGAGAAGTGCATCCTCATCTGCAGAGAATCCCAGGAGAAGATAGTATAGTTCTCTGTGTTATCACTTCTGTGGAGCCTACCCCTTACCAGAAGACTTGTGGTCTGCAGCAGTCAAGGAACCAGGCAAGAGGGGCTGGGGCTACAATTAGTGAAAAGGCACATGTTCTCCTGCAGATGCGCAAGAATCTTTCTTGTTTAGGGGCATGCCTTCTGGCAAACCTCTCTCCCCCTGATAGTATGATGTGAGGAGAGCTCTACAAAGTAATATTTTGCCTCCCAGAGCCCCTTGCTATAGGTTTTATGAGGGGAGGGGACAATCTGGACCATAAATAAGTATAGAGAGAGTGGGGGGGGAGAGACGGACTGAAATTGGTGCATGCTAAAATCGATGCAAACAAGGAAAGCATCATAATCAAGAAGCTGGATATTCACAATTTACAATGATAATGAAATTCTTCTACAACAATAACTGGGAAGGATGTTAAAGAGTAACTGTTAATGTAAATCATATTTTAAATCTGCAGGACTGGATAACTTGGGGAAGTTGCAGAGGACTAGAAGAAAGCACATGTTGTACCGATATTTAAAAACAGCAAAGGGGATGACCTGTATAACTGTAGGTCAGTTAGCCTGACATTGATCCCCGGCAAAATCATAGAAAGCCTGATATGGGATGCAATCATTAAAGAATTAATGCATGGTAGAATAATTAAAGCCAATAAATATGGTTTTGTGTAAAATAGGTCTTGTCAAGCAAACACATTATTGTTTTATGATCAGGTTACAAGTTTGGCTGACAAAGATAACTGTTGACATAACATATCTAGACTTCTATATGGTATTCAGTACTGCATAAAATTCTGATTATGAAAAACCTATACAAAATCAATGTACAAAATCAATCCACATCTTATATGGATTAAAAACTGATAGATATCAAAAACTAGGTGTAAATGTGGAGGAGTCATCCAATTGAGGCAGTTCTGATAGGGTCCACAGGACTGCGTTCTTGGCCTAATGATAATCTTATATCTAGAAGAAATCATAAGATCATTGTTGGCAAAGTTAGCAGCTGACACAAACATTTGCTGGTTTGGTAAATAATAAGGCCAGGTCAGTTCTACAGATGTGGATCACATAGTAAATGGGCTTACGTGAACAACGTGTTTTAATATAGCTAAATGCTGAATCGTAGGTCTAGGAACCAAGAATGTAGGTCACACTTATGGAATGGGGGGCTATATTTTGAAAAGCAGGGACTCAAAAAGGGACTTAAAGATCATGGTGGAAAACCAGCTGAGCTTGACCCCCCGTAGCGATGTGGTGGCTAAAAAAAAAATGTAGCCCTTGGAGGTATAAACAAGAG